CTTAAACCAGCCACTTGGGCGAGGATGAGTAGCAGACTTAGACAAAGACCGTAACTCTTACGGCTCTGATACCAAGAAGAAGAAGCAAGTAGAAGCAGAAAGGCATAAGGATATATTTCAATTGAAAATGCAATTGAAATAATGCTTATATGAAATTACTCAAAATAGAGATAACTGAAAATATCAATTTTATTTATACTCACAGAAGCAACTTCAAAATAGCAACTTCGAACTCCAGATACAAAACACTAAGTGTTTACAAAGATGATTTCTCCAAAGTGTTCAGAGAGAATCTTTAAAAAAACTGAAATGTAATTTGTAATCTGTCTGCAACCGAGGCCGAGGCTGGCTTAAATAATACAAGGAAAGAACTATGGTTTGCAAAAGCAACTAGGGTCATACTGAAAAGTAACTAGGGTAACCGAAAGCAATTCTGATAATGGAGAGGCAACTGTGGAAGCACGAGAACAACCTGATTCAACTTTCAATTATGTCTTACTTTAGTAACCTTTGACTTTTACTCAATGGTGAAATGTCGGGCAACTGACTGCTTTTGAAGATGCTTTAATCATATTCTGGGGCAACTATTGTGTCGGCAACTAGAGGCAATCATTGTGTCTGCAACTTGTGATGCTTAGTCAGAATTCAAATCATAAGCATCATATGGATCTTGACTATCTTCATACCAAGACTTTTTCTTGGCAGGGCTCTGCATGGGCTGACAGCTGGACGATGAGGGGGAAACATTGTCTTCATCATCATCCATTTGAGAAGCTTAGATGATCAACTGGCGGGCAATTTCTTGGAGTTCAGACTTCGATTTTCCTTCGACTGAGAGAGAAGATCGGGTCGAACCAGTAGGGGAAATTGGATGCGGAATAGGCTCTTGAGGCAGATCATTGTACACATATTTAGCAATTCGGTCAACTTCAAATTTGTCCCACCATTTAACTGAGAATTGGAGGGCAAGAACTCTGGTAGTATCTCTGGCAACTTTGTAGGACCATTTGAGGATCCAAGGAACTTTATATCTAGCAAGAAAAAGCAACTGTCTTGGGAAAGATAAATCAACTTTGGAGAACTTGGCTTTTTTAGTATAATGGCGAATTAGCTCATGTACTGCGATGGGCAGAATCTCATCAACTGGACCATGCTTTTCCCACCAGTGGAGAAACCAGAAGGGAAAAGGAGACTTGAATTTATTGTCAAAATTTTGAATATCTTCTAAGAGTAAGAGTAGAGTTAATTGGATGCTAATTTAAGAGATTTAGTTATGGTTTTCAATATTGTAAATGTTAGGAAGAGCTTTGTTCGAGTTATGCTTCTTCATTTTTGTTCTCATAGGTAATGAATATGTTTGGCTCTAATAATAGGAATTATGTAACATGGGCATATTAAAACTCGGTATATATGCTAGCAGAGGGCAGCATGATAGAAGTATCAATGAGGATCAATGTTTTAAATAACGCGCCTTTGGAGCGCTTTGTGGTGCGCCTCTTGGCGAGGCGGTCAGAATTTGCCTCGAGGCACAGCTAAGTCACCAAAAGTGAATGCTTTTGGGCTGAGGCGTTTGCCTTTCTTCGAGTCTTACGCATCCCCTTAGGGGCGTAAGCCTTTTAGGAAGAAGATGACTCAAAAAACCGATGTTGTTTGGCCTAGGATTTGAAAAACCAACATTTAAAAAAAAAAAAAAAAACCATTTTTGGCATCTCTGAGGTGATTTTCTAGTGTTTTCTCCAGCAACATAGTGGCTAGAACCACAGTTACTGAATTCGAGATGGAGTGGGAGAGCTGTTTACACCATAATCAACCGAGCATATCCGGCATCAAAGCAACAGCACCAAGAGCATCAACACCGTGACACGTATCACCACCACAGCGACTTGCACAAAGTCCCACATCGGAAATCTACACAAACCTCCCACTTTCACCTCCCTATAAAGAGGGAATAGTATCCATGTGAAAAGGGGACTACTTCTCTCCACTTAGAAGAGGATCCGGGTCTCAGAGTTAGACCTTGGGGCCGGGGACTCTCTTCTAGATCCCTGGCCTGGCATCTCACTTGTCATCTTTATATTCGGGTCCAACCCCATGTACAAATGTAATCATACATTATTATAATGAGAACATACTTCTCCGTGGACGTAGCCCATTCATTAAGGGTGAACCACGTATATCTTGTCTTCTTTACATTTATCGCTTGCCCAAGTCTTTACACACGTGCTTAAGGTCTTCACCTTCATCCATCATCCATCACACCTCATCACTAAGTTGGACTCAATCTTGGCCTAACCATTTTGAGCATCAACAGTTTGGCACCGTCTGTGGGAAATGATACAAGAAGCTTTTGTTGTTCTACCCTTCCTCTAGTGCCCTTCGGCACCCTCTTGCCTAGCCACATTGTCTTGCAACACGCAAACTTTGTGTCGCCTTCTGCACCCCCGTACTTGGCCAGATCGCCTTGCGACATGCAAGCTTTGTGACGCATTCGGCACCCCCGTACCTAGCCACATCGCTTTCCGACACCCAAGCTTTGTGTTGCCTTCGGCACCCCTGTGCCTAGCTACGTCGCCTTGCGACATGCAAGCTTTGTGTTGCCTTCGGCACCCCCGTGCCTAGCCACATCGCTCTATGACATACAAGCTTTGTGTTGCCTTCGGCACCCACGTGCCTAGCCACCTTGCCTTGTGACACGCAAACTTTGTGTTGCCTTCGGCACCCCTGTGCTTAGCTTTTGTGTTCCCTTCGGCCCCCTCGTGCCTAGCCACATCGCTCTGCGACACGCAAGCTTTGTGTTGCCTTCGGCACCCCCGTGCCTAGCCACATTGCTCTGGGACACGCAAGCTTTGTGTTGCCTTCGGCACCTTCGTGCCCAACCACGTTGCCTTGCGACACGCAAGCCTTGTGTCACCTTCGGCACCATCGTGCCTTGCCTCATCGCTCTGTGACATACAAGCTTTGTGTTGCCTTCGGCACCCCTGTGCTTAGCCACATCGCTCTGTGACATACAAGCTTTGTGTTGCCTTCGGCACCCGCGTGCCTAGCCACCTTGCCTTACGATATGCAAGCTTTGTGTTGCATTCGGCACCCTCGTGCCTAGCCACATTGCTCTGTGACACGCAAGCTTTGTGTTGCCTTCGGCACCTTCGTGCCCAGCCACGTTGCCTTGCGACACTCAAGCCTTGTGTCACCTTCGGCACCATCGTGCCTTGCCTCATCGCTCTGCGACATGCAAGCTTTGTGTTGCCTTCGGCACCCCCGTGCCTAGCCACATCTTGTGTCGCCTTCAGCACCATCGTGCCTAGCCACATCTCTCTGCGACATGCAAGCTTTGTATTGCCTTCAGCACCATCGTGCTTTGCCACATCGCTCTGCGACATGCAAGCTTTGTGTTGCCTTCGGCACCCCCGTGCCTAGCTACATCTTGTGTTGCCTTCGGCACCATCATGCCTAGCCACATCGCTCTACGACAGGCAAGCTTTGTGTTGCCTTCAGTACTATCGTGTCTAGCCACATCGCTCTGCGACACGCAATCTTGGCCCAACCATTTTGAGCATCAACAAGAGCCATAGAGAGGGAGCCATGGAGAGAAAGCCATGGGAGCTTTGAAATTGGATCAGAAGTGGAGAGGAAGACATCGGGTCCTTCAATTTAATAAAGAGAGTTGGTGTTTCGAAGCAACTGTTGGAAAAAGGCTGGCAGTCTACCAACCTTTCTTCATATTAAAATCTGGGATGATAGGGGAAGAAGAAATCGAAGAGGAGGGGAGGGGAAGAGAATAAAACTGGGTGAGGGGAAGAAATTGGGGGAGGGAGAAGAAATCGGGTCTAGGTTTCTTGGTTCGTGGAGATGTGGTTGCAAGCTGGGGTGTGGTATATATAGCAGGTGGTGGTGTCATGGGGTAGAGAGTAGAGAGAAGAGAGAGAGCTGGGTTCTGGGTTCGTTGCAGAGAGAGAGAGAGAGAGAGAGAGAGAGAGAGAGAGAATTTTTTTATTTTTTTAACGATTTATAAATAAACCCAGACGAACTTAATATTTTAAATAGACACAAGTTTGACCTTGAAAATTAACGATTTTAGCTATCGTACAAGTTATAACATACTAAAAAGATGAAAAGGAAAAGATAAGGCAGTTAATTTTTTTTTAAATAATAATAAAACCATCATATACAACCTATCTGAAACAAGTTCGAAATAACTAAATAATGCTACAAGATCTTTGGAAGTTATGTATTATTATTACATATGGCCAATTTAACAATTATAAATTTTTATGAACTTGGTAGAATTATTATTACATGTACATAGGTGGGTAGTTGGGTCAATAAAAGAAACTTAACAAATTTGAAAAGGACATAATAAAATAGAATTTAGGAGAGGGAGGTGGACAATGTCTTACAACTTACATCTCGAGGAAAATGCGTGTCGTGTTGTAGTGGAGCCAACTGTCACAATTAACACAAACAAATAAAATACAAATTTATAAATAAACCCAATTCTAGACATGTATTTATAAAAAAAAAAACCCAAACACTATTTAAACTTAGAAACACACCCAAAATCAACCCCAAAGTCAACTTTTTGGGTGTGTTTATAAATGAGTTTTGAGTGTGTGTAATGATGGGTTTTGGGTGTGTTTATATGAAACCCAATTATTTTTTTCTGACTAGAGTATTTGCAATATATGAAAGCACTTAATTTCTTTTCTTTTGTTTTTGGTCTGAGAATGTACTTCCATTTCAAGTTGAATCGATAAGCTATAGAAATTCTTCGATAGCCCATTGCGTGACCACATTTTTGGATGCAATAAGAACTCTTACAAAAAGAGAATTTTTTGTTGTCCTCATTAGTTTCATTTATGGAAAGTTCAGATGTTTATAATGGCATTTAAATGAAGACAATTACTGAGTTCATTTTTTAAAAACGAAAAAAGAAAAACAAAAGGAAAGTTACCTTTTTGTCTTCTCTGAAAACACAAGTAATTTAATTAATGATGATGACTTTGAGAAAGATGTTGAATCTTGTTTTGTTCCAGATTCTGTTGGAAGATGATGACATTGAGGAAGCATTGAATCTTTTGGATCAAGCCAGTTCAGAACGCAATGAACTTGATACCTTGCTATTTAATACCATTCTTGAAAAAGCCTGTGAAAAGGTAAGATCAAAAGAGCAGCATGGTTCTCGATATACATGATTATAATTTGATCAACCACAAAAATTGTGGTTGCATTATTCGATAGTAATATATATTTTTCTTCTCCCCTGCAATAAATGTCAGGAAGTGATTGAGGTAGTTGAATTTGTCGTTGAGTGGATGCACCAAGAAAAAGTCCAGCCGGATCCAGCGACCTGCCATTTTGTTTTCTCTGCATATGCCAACAGTGGTTTTCACAGCACGGCCATGGAAGCGCTGCAGGTTTTGAGTATGCGCATGATATGTGAAGAAGATGGCAGCTTTCCAGAAAAGGCAGAATTTGAGGATGACTTCATCTTTGCTGAAGACACGGAAGCTGAATCACGAATAGTACAACTTTTTAAAGATTCTGAAGAGAAGCTTGCTGTTGCCCTTTTGAATCTAAGATGGTGCGCCGTGCTTGGCTTCCCAATTTCATGGTCACCTAATCAAAGCCCATGGGCCAGAAGACTGTCATCTAACTACACTGCCAGGAAAGGAGCCACCTAATCATGATTTATATATAGGTGGCATTAGGACTCCAGTGAGTTTCCCTTTATTATTATTATTTTTTGTTGTGGTCGAACGAAGTGTAAGGCCTCCTCAGGGAGGAAGGGGAGAGGGTGAGAGGCACAGATGAGGTCTTGATGAGGGTGTTAAATACCTAGTGCAACTAACTAATGTTGAATAAAAAAAACAAGACCGCAGATATATTAGATTTGTATTAGGCTAGGCTATATTTGAGAAAATTAGGGGATTCCCTTTTATCATTTTTGTTTCATTACGTTACTTTGTAAGTTACTGCTTTGTATATTTAAAACGTAAAATCGTGCTGCAGCTCTGTAAACTGTGCCTAGGAGGAGGCATGTTTTGTTGTTAATTTAACCACACAAAAAAAAAGATCAAAAATGTATTGATATATTTTTTATGCTTTTTTATTCTTTCGCAAGTTTGCTTTGATCGCCATCTTCTGTTGTCATTGTACTTTTGTTGTGGTTCAAGTCAGTGATGTCGCCATTTTCTCCGCAGGTTAGAATGAGCTGTTCTCCTCCAGGGAGGGAAAGAAGGGTGCTGCTGGCAAATTCTTTAAATATTTTC